AACCTAAACCCTAAACCCTAAACCCTAAACCCTAAACCCTAAACCCTAAACCTATTCCCTAAACCCTAAACCCTAAACCCTAAACCTAAACCCTAAACCCTAAACCCTAAACCCTAAACCCAAAACCCTCCGAATCCTGGCGCCGGCGGAACTCTGCTGCTTCCATTGGGCCTCTGGTGGCCTCACGGATTGCGCTTTAGTTAGGGCTTAGGGTTTAGAGTTCGGAGATTTAGTATTTAGGGCTTAGGGTTTAGAGTTCGGAGATTTAATAGTCAGGGCTTAGGGTTTAGAGGTCGGAGATTTAGTATTTAGGGCTTAGGGCGTAGAGGGCTTAGGGTTTAGAGGTCGGAGATTTAGGATTTAGGATTTAGGGCGTAGAGTTTAGGGTTGAAGGCTCCAGGGTGTAGGGTTCAGAGCATTAGGCTTGGGCTTGGAATTTTGGGTTTAGGGTCTGAGGGTTTGGGGATTTTGTAGTTAGGGTTTAGGGTTTGGGGTTCAGAGTCTTTGGGATTGGAGGGTTTAGGGAACTGAACCTTAAAAGAAAGCCCTACACCCTATACCCTATCCCCCTAAACCCTAAACCCCTTAAACCCCTAAACCCCTAAGCCTGAAAGGGGGTTTTGAGGCTTCGGGCTTGAATGTTTCAGTCCCCAGAGAGCCCCAATACAGCTTAATTAAGGACTAGACCTTAAACCGTGATTCTAAGGCCCCAAAACCCGAAACCCTAAAAACTATACCTTAAATCATAATGCTAAGGCCCCTAAACCCTAAACTCTATCAAGGTCTATTCCTTTAATTAAGGAATAGACCTTAAATCATATAATACTAAGGCCCCTAAACCCTAAACCCTATGAAGGTCTACTCCTCTAAGTAAGGAATATACCTCAAATCATAATACTCAGGCCCCTATAGTTTAAGGTCTACTCCTTTAAGTAAGTCATCATACTAAGCCCCTAAACCCTAAACCCTAGACCCTATAAAGCTCTATTCCTCTAAGTAAGGAATGAATATACCTTAAGTCATAATACTAAGGCCCCTATAGTGTTTAAGGTCTACTCCTTTAATTTGGGGGTATTGGGATCTCTGGGGCTCAGGTTTCAGGATTCAGCGTTCACGGCCTTGTAGACGGGTGTGCCAGCTGCGGGGTTTTAGGCTTAGGGGTTTAGGGGTCTAGGGTTTAGGGTTTAGGGGTCTAGGGGTTTTAGGGTTTAGGGTTTAGGGTTTAGGGCTTTTTGTTAAAGGTTCAGTTAAGTAGTTGCAGGTAAGCTCCGGGAGTCAGGCTTTCAGGGCTTTTTGGGTTTGGGTGGTGTTTAGACTCTTATTTCATAATCCTTTTAAGGATCAGGTCCCAAACAGTGTATTGAGGTACGTATGGTCCTCCAAACCAGGGTTAAGGCTTCATTCTTCCTATTCGGGTCTTGCCGAGGAGAAATGTCCCTGAGGATTCTGTACTAGGTTCCCGAGTAGCCCCTTAGTGATAAGGGCTTAGGGTTTAGGGTTTAGGGCTTAGGGTTTAGGGTAGCCCCTTAATGATAAGGGCATCCTTTGTGCTACTCTTCGGTTTTAATAAGGAACGAACAGCCAGTTCCACCAATGCTGAGACCTCCAGGCCAAAGAACTCACGAGTTTGCTCATTCTGCTCAGCTTGCTTTGCAGAGTGGAGGAAGAGGGGGGTGTCTGCTTTGACATAGCGCCCTAAACACTAAACCCTAAACCCTGGAAGTCTGCTGGACAGCTCCTCAGGCCAATTAAGACACCACTTGAAGAAGAAGCACCCCCTGCACTGGAACGGTAGCCCTTCCAAGCTGAACCCTAAACCCTAAACTCCCTAAGCCCTAAACCCAAAACCCCTAAACCCTAAACCCTAAACCTCCTAAGCCCTAAACCCAAAACCCTTAAGCTTTAAACCCTAAACCCCCTAACCCCTAAACCCTGAACCCCTAAACTCTAAACCCTGAACCCCCAAAGCCCCATACCCTAAACCCCCTAAACCCTAAAACCCTGAACCACCTTGTTACTTGCGAGGGGTTGTGCTGAGCCACCAGCGCCAGCAGGCGGTAGTAGGCCAGCACACAGAGCTCACCACCACCATCGCACCAGGAAAACTCTCCCTTCTTCGGAGGATCCACCATACTGTGCAAGGACACGGTGGGGGCCAGGCCAATTTCTTCATCCTCACCTCCTTGGCCTCGTCATCACACCAGATTGTCTGGACGTACTTGTCTGAAGCTGCCGTCGTACAGTCTTCGGCACGTTGGGGTGATGGACGATCAGCTTCAGAGGGGGGAACACCCCAAAATCAAAAAAGGGGCCCAAAATGTTTGAGAATGGTTACAGTTCCAGAGTTTCAGGCTTAAAACGTTCACGGACGGTACGGTCTTGGGACTATCGGATTTCGTGGTTTGGGTCTAGGGTTTACAACTTGACGGCAGGGCTTTAGGGGCCCGGACCCTTGTGGAACCCGCAGAGCAACTCTTCTTTGTGGAACCGTGCAGGCTGCCTACACGACCCCCTGCAAAACACCAAATCCGCATTCTAAAGCCCCAAGCCCAATCGGAAACCGAAAACGAGCCCTGGCAGAAACCCAAGTGCACTCAAAGAAACACACGAAACCGAGATCCTAAACCCAAAGCCCTAGACCTTGAACCCTAAACCCTAAGGCGCCTTCTGTCGCTCCGCCTCCTGCGCCATGCCCTGTAGCAGCTCCTCCCTGGTCAGCGGCCCTCCGGGGGCGAACATCCGAACATCTCGAGCTTTCGGGGCTTGCATAAGGTTTCTGCACAGATACAGAAAAAGCACTCTCTAGGTGTGTATATATATATATAT